TTGAGGGGAGGATGGCGGAGCTGCTCGGCGTATTGAGCTGGAGAAGGAGAGAGAGAGAGAGAGGGCGGAGGGCGGGCTCGCCTGCCCCGGCTTATGGGGAGAACGGAGCTCCTGGGGTAAGTGTTAAACCCCTGGGTCTCAGTTTCTTGATGACTGTGAGCTGGGAGGTGCTTCTCCTCCCTCTTTTTTTTCTCCACTCCCCTGTCTCCTCTCTTCTCCCATTCCCCCTTCCTCCTTCAGTGAGATGCCTCTGAGGAGGCTACTTCTCATGTTTTACTGCCCTTTTTTGTGGAAGGAGAGGGGAAAGTGGGAAAAGGGAAGGAAGGCGACAAGCACAGGGTTTAGGGCTTTTTGTTTTAATACTTGTAGTCACGGCTCTTCCAAGACGACCCTTTTTAGGCACTGTCTTTCATCATCTACAAGGATGGTTAGCTGTAATATTATTTGAGTTTCGTGACGCAGTGGCTTTGTCCACTCATGCCAGCAACTATTCTTGTAGGGCAGCTGAGGGTGGGAATTCTCTGGGGGAAGAGCAATTTATTGTGTCCAAAGTGGGTTTTGCTTCCTCTTTTTGCCAGATGGCTAATACCGATGTTAGCATGATCAAAATGCATATTTCTTTAACTGTATTGAGTGTTTGGTGTTGAGTGTGCAGACTTAGATTCTTATGTGGCTTTCTTCTTAACAGGAAGGAATTTGCAGCTATAGGCAGTCATTCAGGGACTGAAAGGCAGTAATGACATGTGAAGGTTTATTTGACCTGACTAGAAAATGACTTGATCTTAAGTTGACTCATTTAAGAAAAAGGAAAATTACTTGCTAGAACGCTGCGTTGCTCTAGGAAATGTTATTGTCTTTCAATAGCTTCCTTTGGAGCCCCATTAATATGTGGATCTTTAATGGGAAAAGTAGAAGGCAAGGTTTTAAAGTGGAGAAGAAAAATAGCACTAAGTCTTTACAGGACTGATGAAAGAGGAACCACTCCCCTAGTTTCATGCAATTAAGAGGAATAGTCGACTTGTAGAATTGATGTGTAATGGAATACAAAGAATGCATGGCTGGATCTCAACTACCTCTTGGTTAGGGGACATAACTTCATAGCAAATGGAATGAACTACACTTAAAATAAAAATGTTGAGTATGAAGTAATACTAAACTCCACAGTATAGTATGGAAATATGTTCCTGTAAACATTGTAAGTTTTCACATGGCCATTGTGTTTTTGTTTAAGGTATGGTTTTGGTGTGCAGTGTTATCTTTTGAACTTTCAAGCATGAGTTAAAATCTTTTTTTCTGTTGCCTAAAGACAGACGTATTTGATGGCATATTTTTTTCTTATGAAATAAACATATTTTCACTATATGTTTGTTGCAAGCTTGCTTTCTTGTTCCAAGAACAAATGAATGGATCTCCCATCTGTGTCTGAAATATTTCAGGTTTCTAGGCCTTCTAAACAAACAACTTTAATGTTTGGTGTTCTGAATGATATCAGAAAAATCTCTTAAACTAACTGGCACAGAGCCAGAGTTTTAGTTGCTCTTTAAGATGCACAATACCACAATATTAATAGTCAGCGCTTAACTTTAGTATTAGCATAGTTTTCCTGTTGTGCTGTTTGACTAATTGGAGAAATGAAACGTTTGAAATATAGGCTACATGTTTGAAGGTGGTATTGAGAGGCAAGGATAATGATCTTCTTAAGAACTCATGGGAGTAATTTGCTTTTTCTCAGCTTTCAATGTCTGGCTTCTACTTTTAAGCCTGTTTTGAGGATGTACCTCAGGAGCTTTAGATGAGCAGAGCAGCTATAATTGTTTTTATCTTCAGTTTGTCAACCAGCTTTTACTGCTTCAAAATAATATTTTTCTGGTGACCTCTTTTTGGAAGCCAACCTTCAAGGACCTGTGGAAAGCATGTGATAGTCTTAGCTCCAGTAGGAGTAGCTTAGTTGCTTTCAAGGTCCTGTACCTTTTCTTCTGGGCTTTTAGGCCTTATGTGAAGTGTTTCTTCTTTTCTATGTTCATCTATCGCTTCATTTGAAGCTGGCATAGTTAATATACATGGAATGTATTTTAATTTTCCATCTCTGATAATAGTACCTGAGCTTCATAAATGTTAGCTTATGTTACTAACCTTTTGCTAATTGCAGCACAGAATTATAAGAGAGTCCGTAATCCTGAAAGGGTGGATATAGTGGTCTAAGCAGAGAGCGTGTGTGGAAGATGAGAATTCACACAGTATGTTGTGGTGAAGTGACTTGCGTAAAGCATCACAAAGCAGAATGGTGGCAGTGAGACCATAAAATAGAGTAAGTTGAAGGCTCCTGATTTGCCCACCATCCAAGCCATAGAAACATGATTTCCCTCCTACATGAGAGGAAAATTATCTCTATTTGGGGAATACGGACACAAAAATTACTGACAGTGTCTGCTGCTGTTGCTAGCCAGTAGCATCCTGGAACTGAAGACTGAACGTTGCCTTTCTAAATTTTATTTCCTTTCATTGTATCCCTTCTTTATTGCCTTCTTTATTGTCACCCCTGTCTCCAGATCTTCCTTCCAGCCTACTCCCTTTGAGGCTAGTGGAACGTTGTATAGCCAACCCAGTCGAACACAATACAGTGTGTTACATTTTTTTCTAGATGCTTTCAGTTTTGGTAAAAGATCCCTTGTGTCAGATCAGCTTGCATGAACGTTTCTGAAGATGTCTTTAGATGAAAACAAGTGCTAGGATCACAGCTCTTTTGTTCCTAAATGTTTGATTCTGATTCTTTTATTTTTAAAATAATCATTGTCTTTGTATCATGTTGGGAGTAGTGGTGAAGAGGCAGCTTTTCATATGTGCATATAACTTAGGCAACATGAAATCTTAGTCCCTTTCTGTTTACTTGGGTTAATTGGTAGTGTTCAGGTCCCATATTAGGGCATCTCTACAGATGATCGGTTCCATACACCTTCATCTACAGGTTTTCTACAGTTGAACTTCCATTTGGATGTAAACTTGGAGAATGGGCAAAACTTGCATGTCTTTGTCATACCTTGGAGCAGCTATGTAACATTGGATTTGTCTTGCTGAACTCCAGTGTTGCTAAAGTTGCATCAAGACAGTTGATGTAACTCTGATTACTGAAGGAGTATGCGTATATGCCTTTTCCCTAATACTACTGTAACTTTTATATGTAGTTCTTAAAATACTGGCATGTAGAATTCATAGGGTCATTCTTAGAAATAATAAAAAATTGGAGGAAAGCTAGTGTAATGTATTCTAGAATTGGCTGTATTGTGAAAGTACTGATAACTCTGAATTGTCCAGACAGTCCTAGTAACTGTCGCGAATATTTAAGGGAAGGATGTCATCTTATAAAACCAGTAGTTTGATGAAATTATGATAAGGAGTTGCATATTATATACTTCAAGAGACTGAGTGTAGAGACATGCTGTTTAATGACTGACCTCCAATACGTGCTAATGAAAAATGTATGGATGAACTGTGACACTAGGGTAGGGCTGTGGTAGAGCTGATGCTCTGCCTGGGGTATTAAGTATTCCTGATTCTGCATCTATGCAAAACCCTCGGGTGCCACTCAAGGTACTTCACATTTTAGTGTATGTAGTGGTGGGTTTTTTCACTGTATTACAATGATTAGCAGAAAATAGATTCTGTAGTTCACTGATTATTTGTTCATTGATGAGTAAAATTGTGAGAAAAGATTAATAGAATGTCTTTGACTTAAATGACAACTGTAATGAAATAACAAAGATTTCTCCTGTTTTGACAGATAAACAGAGGTCTACAATGAAAACAGAACAGCTCCTTTTCTGCTTTACTGTTGGTTAAACGTGTCTTTAAATATTTCTGATGCTTTTTTTTGTGGACAGTATCTTGTGCTGTGCTGCTGATGGAAACCCAGTAAAGCCAATAATTAGTTTTGAAATAGATGAGTTCCCTGATGGAAAGCTGGTGCCAGCACAAAGGAGACTGTGAGGGTAGTATCAACCCTTTAGGCCACAGCCTGTGTTAGCACTGGCATATGCTGATCATGAGCCTGCATTCTTTTGAATTTCATAGTTGATTTATGGAATAAATAATTTGGTGGGGAGGCTACTCTTTCAGTGCTTCATTCGTAGTAAATATCTTACTAACATGAGAATCTCATGCAGTTTGGATTTTTAGTCTAGAAAAGTGTGGCTTTTTTGCTTTGGTACTTCTGATATACCAGCTTCATGATTGCTTCAAAGTACCTTGTGTGGATTAACTTTTGTGATAATGTTGCCATGTAACCTAACAAAGATCTTTTGAGGGGGGGTTAGGGAGAATTTTGTGACAGCTCGAAAAGTGTGCACTAAGGAAAATGATCTTGCTTCAGCTAGATTTCGGATGTATGAAATGTAATGCTCAGTTAAATAGTTAATTACTTGTCATAAGCTTCCTCAGTATTTAAGTAAAGTAGTACTAATTAATTAACTGTAATGTGAATACATCAGTCATTCCCAAAATGCAACTAGTGGACCTGTTAAAACTGTTTAACTCTGTGTATCCATAAAGGGATTGACTTAGTTGGTTTTTTTTAAACTGAGTAGTGGCATTACACATACAGTTTTGTTGTGTAAGCCTGCAACCACTGAGCAGCTGCTGAGAAAACCCTTAGGAACCCCCTTGAAGAGGCTTTTCTGAGATGGAGGCTGTGGAGACTTTTTGTTATTTGCAAATCAGGTATGTTTTCTTGCTCCCTGGTTTCAGGATTCTCTGCAGCTGCAGGGGTTTGCTGTTTGTGTGGTTTGTTTCGAAATGAAAAATTTCAGTTCCGTGATTCAAAGAATTGGCCTTGGGTGAAGAGTAAGTACTTGTTCAGTAGGCTCCATGTGGTATTTGCTGTACTGGGTTAAAATGTGTTCTTTTTAAAAGGGGGGGGGAGGGGGAATACAATTACTAAATGTTTGAGTTTTGTAATATGGGACTTTTTATTTCAAGCTCCAGTGCATTGTCTGTAATGTCGTCTTTTCCTGTTGCCTTTTTTTCATTTTCCTTTTCATTGCCTCTTAGCTTTTCCAGATCCAGCTCTATCACTTGTTAGGTATTTGTCCTAGTGATATTTTAATAGCTGTCGTGTTGCATCTTTAAACCTAATTTCAGATTCAGGTAGCTGTTTCCTCTGAGCCTGGCATGGCATCTCATAGATTAGTCAGTCACAGAAACTGATGCTGAACACCCTCCCAGTCATTTGACCTCTTGTTTTGGCTGTAATCTGTCACTCCACTTGTGTCACACTGATCATTGTCTTCACTACAAAACTTACTCAGGTTAGCAGAGCCGTTGTATGTCATCTTTAAGATGGCTACAGTTGTGTAAGTACATCTGGGTTGCTACAGAGGGACATCTTTTTAGCACTTGACTCTTGCCAGTTTACCTGCTCTTCCAGTTTATTATACTTGGACTTTTTTCTTGGTTTTGGGGTGTTGAAGTCTTTCAGTGGTATAAGAAGTGACTATTTTTGCTTATTTATGGCTGTTTGTCTACAACTGCTGCTGCTGCAACATATGCTAGTGTTTGAGTCCTCACTCATTACAGCTGTTGGCATTGATGCAATACCTTTTTCTGTAGCTAGTGGCTGTTGTGGCAGTTGCTCAATGCCACTGAAAATTGGAAGGTAAGAGTATCTTAGGCAAATTGAGAAGGCCTAGCAACACTGAAACCAGATTTGAAAGTTTTACTACATCTGAATTACTCGATCAACTGCTTTGGAGCAGAGCCACAGCCAAAAGTGGTGGAAGTGTATTGCCCTGCTGATGTGAAGTGAATTTCAGGAAACAAGTTCCTGATTTAAAGCAGTTATTTTCTGTACTATGTAGTGTAGTTTTTCTGCCAAGAGAAGGAATCTTTCTCTACTGGTGGTTGTAAGATTATTTTGTTTAATGGTGGTATAGTGTCATTGGCCAATGTGATACACTTGAGAGAATGAAGAGATTTTGTTTTCTTTTGTTTAAAGAAACAGAACTGTGGCTTGCTGATTTCACTGGTTAGTAGGTGTTCTTGGGGAGGCCAATAAGATCCTTAAGATGGAGGTGCTGGTGGGTGCCTTCCTGCTTAGCCACGTGAATCTTTTCCTCTATGCAAAAAGGTTTGGAGGTCAACCAGCAGCAGGCAAAACTTCAAGTGAATGCGAGTTGTTGAGTCAAGTTAGAGAAACGTATTCGCTACGTATATGATTTACAATATGAACTACAGTCAGGAGCAATAGATTAGCAATATAAGAATCTTTCGCTTAAAATAGTCACATTTGGATTGTGTAATCCAGCCTAACTAGTTGATTCTCTAAGATTAGTCTTGAAAGAATGCAGCATGTACAGATCTGTATTCATTTGTTGCTGTACCCCTCGTGTCCTTGTATCTTACCTGTACCTGCCTGTCTTTCATAGTTCTGGTTCTCAATACTGGAGTGCAGTGTCATTTTCCTATCCTAAAACTGTTGTTGCTGTTGATCCATCTTGGCATTGTACCAGCCAGGTGAGGTAATAAAAGGAATTGGTTTGTTTCATGTGTTCAGGTAATTCAAGATACACTAAGTGCAGTGGGAAGCTTCTGCAGAGTAGTTATGTTGGAATGGTATCCTTGGTTTGTGACCAGCTTTCTCACATCTCCATGGTAATTTGATGCTTATGGCCTCTTTTCCCAGCTGTGGCTGTATGCTGTGTTCCCTTTGTCTGCTAGCCTCCAAACTCAAAAGTGGAGTTACCTGGACCCTCAAACCTTGAACACACATTCTGGGGGCAATCTCATTCCCTTTTTGAAAAGAAAACACAGCAGTTCTCAAACTTCGGTAAAAATCAACAGGAGAAACAGATGACTGTGTGATATTGGACACTTAGTTTTAACTTTTTTGTAACAGATGATTAATGAGTTTTAAGATTCAGTGCTCATGTACAACATGTCTTTTATGGATTATGTTATCTCTCAATTGTTATTTCTGGTGGTAGCATCTTAAGTGGCTTTTTACCAGTATACTTTCAGTCATGTTACCAAAGATGCTACACTTAATCAGCTTGCATAAAGACTCAGGTTAGCTCTCGATGTCAAGGGTCAGTGATCTTGCTCTCAAGTTTCAGTGCTGCTTGACTTAAAAAAAAAAAAAAAAAAAAAAAAAAAAAAAAAATGAGCTTGGTCTTGCAATAAAAAGCTTGAAAGCTTATCAGGTGTTTACAAAGATGTCATGTAACTTCTCTTTTAAAGGTGTGAAGCATGCTATGACACGGGAATTGTCCTGGGGATTTTGGGAGAAGTGCTGACACTCATATACTCTGCAGCATGTATGTAGACTAACGTAATTCAAAAGCAATTGGGCCAAATCTTTATTTGAATCCATATTGGAGAACTTAGTTTAAAAAAGAAACTGTTTAGTGCTGGTAACTGTTGTGGGATTTTAACATACTGATGCTCATTTTCTCAAAACCTCTTGTTAAATGATATTTTCATTCAAGATCAGTTGGCAAAGCAGAACGAGCCTGTCGAAGGTTAAAGCCTGATGTAACATTTTCAAATGGATCCGTAGTCTATACACTTGTAGTGGGATGTAAGTGAAATCCCTTATGCTTCTGTATTTCTCTAATTTCTTCCTGTATGTGTAAGACAGCAGATATCTCCCTATATCTAGCTCTATGGAAGAGGTGTAGAACAGCATGAAACTAATGGGCATGTTTCTAGCAATCTTCATGGGAGCCTAATTTCCAATGCCGGGTAAACCTGGAGAAGATAGGTATGGGTGATTATGCTGGCCTTGATTGCCAGAGTTAACCTCGGTGAAAATAACATGCTTACTGCCTTCCAAGGTAAAAAACTAGAGTTTCTTGTGCTGAAGTGGTGGCTCATCAGCATTAGAGTTCTCTAAGTATTATGGACTCAAGCATGTCAAGGCATCTGTATTGGACTGGTAGAGAACCAGGCCAGGCTAACAAGTATGTGTTCCTAAGAAGTCTAGATTGCTTGATAGACTTGATAATGAGGATGCTAAGTCTCTCCACTGTAGATGCCTGATTACACTAGTTGCAGGTGAAGTACATTAATACCTGCAAAGTATTCCTTGGTGTTTAAATGCTAGATACATTTTTGGGACAGACTTACTTTCAGTTGCAAGGTTGCAAGGTGCCCATCACAGTTAGTCTCATTGTGGATGCTTTCAGAGTAATCTGCTTAATATGGGCCTTATACCAACCAGTACCATTGACCTGTTAAAGTATGTCAGAATTCAGTGCTTTAGGGAGCTGCTTTGGTGGGTAAATGGTAAATCTAACTGAAACAAGCAGAAGAGTTATGAGAACGCTGCACGGAGCTTCTGAAAAGATGACTCAGTCCAACATGGATACCTTCTTAGCAGTTCTGTGTTTGCAGACTGTACTGCTAGTGTACCAGAGATACTGTGGGCTAGGTACTTCATACGCTACATTATATTAGCTACATTATACACTCTGGCAGTATATGCCTTTCAGATCTTTGTTTAAACTAAGATCTTACCTTTTTCCTTTTATTTTCTTCTGACATTAAGAGTGCTTTTGCTAATAGTCTTACCATGCATTGAGAACACTTTTTTAAAATAGTCTAGCTGTTCTTTGATCCATTTTGGTGTTCTGAGGTGTATCAAAGCCCAGGGCTGAAAAGTTAGTGGTGCTGCTACTGAAGAGAGATGCTTTAAACAGGTAAGGTTTTTTTCAGAACAGATGTATCTGGTCTGGAATTAAATTTTGTATTTCAGACATCAATAGGTAATTTACAGTCATAGTAGCAATAGAACACTTCAGGTTATTTTCAACTCAGAGTTGTCAACCTCAGTTGCTAAAGGTTACATTGCACTTTAGTCTCATGCGTAAAGCAGAGCAGTAGTAGACCGGTATGTAACTCCTGAAGATCTGTGAAGTGAAAGGGACACTTCTTGAGAGTAGGCATAATTTTTAGCTTTGGAGTTTTGTGCAGAGCATTCTTACAGCAAGAGGAATTAAATTTTACTTCACAGTATTCTTTCTGAACATAAGGGTAGAATGTTAGTTGAATTTCTAACCAAAGCCACAGATAGCTTAATAGAGTTTTGAGCATTTTTGTTCGTTCTGTGCAGTTTTGTTTCTGTTGAATTGTAGTAGGAAGCTGAAAAGGTAATACTAGAGGAGATAAGCTTGAAAGTGACTTTCTGGGTTTTAGCAGGTTTTTTTTTTCAAACATGGTATACTGATCTGTTTACTGTAGTGAATAGATGAAGTCTAGGCTTTGTGAGAACCAGCATCACCTGACTTCACGGCACTGCATATTCCTCCTGTCTTTACCGGCTCAGTTGGTTTGGTTACTTGTTGGAAACAGGGAAGTTGAGGTCTATAACAAATGAATTATGTCACTGAGAATTAAAACATGACTTTTTTTTCTGTGAAATGGATGGACAAGGACCTCTCCTGCATGCAGTTTAGAGGATGTAGTACGGGGAACAGTCTGCTTCATTAGATTTTGAGTCCTAGTTCTGGGCCCATTTAAGAAATGGAGGAGGGGGGCAGGGTCAGCTTTGGTAAATGCTGGTTTATTTTGATGCACCCATGAGACAAGACGTGTTTTCTAAGAGTCTGTCTTCGAATAATTGAAAGCTTTCTACGGATCAGAACTATGATTTACCTGAAACATAGGTAGGAGAAGTGTTTCTATAGTGTCAGTCAGTTTTTAATATAGGAATTAAGTAGCATAAGTTTATAAAATACACTTTTTAGTTTAGCCGGGTTTTGACCCAAATGGATAAATTTCCTGGGTGTTTGCATGTAGTGACTTCACTAGAGCAGACTTTTAATAGATCCACCTTTTGTCCAGCACTTCCACACTAATTCTTTTTTGTGACTTTTTAGTTTGATTCAAAAATATAGGTGTGTTTTTACTTTTAATGCAGGGGTTTCCCCCCCCCCCCCCTTAATCCAGAACTCTTTTTACTTGTTCGATATGTGTGTCCAAGAGGATGGGAGGATGGGAAGAATTCAGTACTCTAAGGAGGAATCCTTCAGAGGAGTCTTTCTGTAGTGCAAAATTTATTCTCAAAACCACTTCATTAGAATGGAAGCATATCAACACTGAATTTTCTGTTTGTACGTGAGGGTGGTGGTTCTGCAGGTTTCAGAGGTTGGAGTGGAAATTAACAAAATCAAATCATATTGGGAACTAAGCATGAGTTTTAGGAAACCTCGGATTGACTTTACCGCAGTGCTGCTTTCCTCAGGAGGGTAGAAAAAAACTTATATCTTGTCTTCTAAGAGAAACATTTTTTTGAAGTCAGAGCATACATACTGAGGCTGTGTGGTGGTAATGGATATTGAAAGTTTTTCTGGTGTTAACACAAGTTTAGAAGTCTTACAATAAGAGTTGCAGCTCTGAGAGGCCTGTAGACTAATGAAGATTAGATGAAGTGTGATGGTAGATGAAAATACCTGAGTAGGAACACTTAGAAAATGTGGAACATTTTTTCAAAAGCAACTTGTAAATTGGAAGCTTGTAATCTGTTGCCCATTAATGGGAATGGGGTAGAATGCTTAAGATGCTTGAAGACATACGCCACAGCAGACTGAAAGTGATTTTTGAAATTGTTTTCTTGATATTACAGTTGTAGGCACATGAGTGTTTTAATTATTTGGAGATGAGGGAGGGGAGTATCACAGTGATACAGAGAGATTGACTAGGGATTGACTGTTCAGTTTGCTCAAATATGAAGATGAGGGGTGGTTGTATAAGACTGAGTGAAATTCAAACTGAAAGGAGGAGGTTCTTCACATGAATGACTGTGGACCTGTGAAGCTCCTTGTCAGAGGACTTCATGGGTGTAAGAAATTTATGCAGGCTCAAGGGGAAGCTGAAGGACTTGGGAAGAAATCCATGAAGGCTACCAAACAGACAAATCACATAAGGCTCAGGAAAACACTTGAAAATAGTTGGGGACTGAAGAATACTTTGGAATATCATGGTTTTTTCTGTTTATTTTTGGAGATGGTGCTAGAGAGAACTTGTGTCATACTATGAAGGAGGAAGAATCTGAGGAAAGAGTTACGGGAGAAGGGAGAGAAAAGCCAATGGGTGACCAAAGTCTTTTCACATTTTTAAATACAAAATTAGAGTGAAATGTTGTAAGCAGTAATGAGAATAGGAAAAAACACATTTGATTTGAGGTTTTTGTGTTTAGTATAAATGGGGATAAATAGATATTAGTTGTAAGAACTAAAATTTCTAATTATTCTTGTTTATAATTCTTTTTATTAGCAAAACCAAATAGGAAGCTGACATTCCTGTACTTGGCCAACGATGTCATACAGAACAGCAAAAGGAAAGGACCAGAATTTACAAAAGACTTTGCTCCAGTAATAGTGGAGGCTTTTAAGCATGTTTCAAGGTACAGTAAACTGTTATATGCAGTGTCCTTCATCATACTGTATTTGAGGGGTATCTAGAGAACTCCTCAGTTCATCTCTTCTGACCCAGCTAGTCCTTGCGTCCTATTTCTGTACTTGAAGTCTTGTTAATTTATTCAGTGTTCTTTCAATCTTGGATAGTCTTAATGCTGTTGGATGAAGTTACATAGTAAATTCATCTGCATTCAGTCCCTCTTGCCTTAGAAAGCTGTTAGCTGTGCCTTAATTTAAGACTTGCTTTCAGTCTGCATTTATATGCTACAACAGTTTCATATCTTTCGTTACTGGTGTTGCATGATTTTTTGTTTTCCCAGCAGCCAGTCATCTCATTGCATGAGGATGCTAGAGTCTTGATACAGAATTATTTTCACACGGTACACAGCTGTTGAAGCACTGCAAGCCTATTTGCAGTGTTTGCAGAATAGGGTTACAGACCTATAAATTTGAGTTGAGCAAACAAACAAAGAGGGAATTGGGCATTGACTCTTTTTTGTGTACTTGCTAAGAAATCTTGAACTGATCTTTACTGTCTTTTCTTTAAAATGTGATTTTGTTATTTTCTGAGACTATTGGACTTCTGATACTTTTATATTGCTAAGGTATGCCAAGGTCCTTCTGTGAAAGATAATCATACAGCAGTGCTGTACTTTTACCTAGTGCTGATTTTTGCTTTTTTCCTTGCAACAGCGAGTCTGATGAGAGTTGTAAGAAACACCTTGGCCGAGTGCTTTCTATCTGGGAAGAAAGGTCTGTTTATGAAAATGATGTATTAGAACAACTTAGGCAAGCTTTGTGTAAGTATTTTGTGTGTGTATGAAGATTCAGTCTCTTGTTTGAAGTATTAGTTTGATGACTCCTCTGTTTGTTTTCATTTAGATGGAGACAGAAAAGTGAGGAAACGCACATATGAACAGATAAAAGTTGATGAAAACAGCTGTTCACCTCGAAGTTCTCCCACTGACCCTCCGCAGGTAAAAGCATGTTTATAAAATTCAGTATTTGTATATGGTTTGAGACAGAATTTTTCCGTTACTGTTGCTTTTGAATGGTCTCTGGTTTTCTTTTTAATGTGGTACTGTTCCTGAGCAAGAGTGACTATACCTGAAACTTTTCTTCACAGTACTTTAGGTTACAAGTGGAGCATGCTATGACTTTAGTCAATTTGACACTAAACCAGAATGGGTGAACTATATATCCAGCTTTGTTCACATCAGGATTTCAGCATTAGTTTCTACAGTGTTTTAGGTTCCCATTTGGTTTTCAGGGTGGTAACGAGTAACGTGTATTAGAATAAGATTGTTATTGATTTATCAATAAAATATTTCTCAGTGTTGCAGTCATGATGGTTGGGAAAAGTCTGCCTTGCATTGTTATGGCTTTTATAATTCTTGTGGGATTTTTTTGTTATAGTACTTCCCCATCTCAAAAGGCGTTTTGTTATGGCACGGAATGACTGTCCTCAAATAATCATAATTTAGTATGTTTCTCTGTAACAGACATCTGGGCTTCTATGAACATCAGCCCTACTTCCAAAAGAAGTGCACTGATCTAGTCTCATGCAATAGTGAAGCAAAAGTACAAGAACAATAATTTTTAAAGTGTATAGTAAAATGAAAGGTACTGTAAAATAATCACTACTGTCAAAAAATAAAAGATTGATAAGTAGTCCTATACCAAAAATTTAAATGAAAAAATCTATTTTAGGAAGGTGACCTTTAAAACTAGGAACACTGCGATGTTGTTCTGAGAATTAACAGCTTGGTTTGGTTTTGTTTTCAGTCAGAGAGGATAGAATGTTGCTATAATGCTGATATTGTAAATGCTTTTAAAATTACTATCAAATTGATTCCATAAGCTTACTGTGAAAAACTGTTTTGTACTAGGATCTGTTTATTTAAACTAGTTCTCAATCTTCCATGCTTCTTGCAGACCACAGATCTCATTAGAGCATTACAAGAACTAGAAAATGCTGCCTCTGGGGATGCAGCAGTTCATCAGAGAATAGCTTCTTTGCCTATAGAGGTCCAAGATGTGTCCCTGTTAGACAGAATAACAGGTGAGGGTTGGGAATCCAGTAACTGAAATGCTGTTCTGAGAACTTAACAGTATATAATGAAATCATGCTTTACTTGTTTTTCTCTGCTTGCTTTTTAGATAAGGAATCTGGAGAGCAACTTTCCAAAATGGTAGATGATGCATGTATGTTGCTGGCGGATTACAATGGCAGGTTGGCAGCTGAAATAGATGATAGAAAACAGCTAACTCGAATGTTGTCAGACTTTCTCCGATGTCAAAAAGAATTCCTTGCAGAGAAAGAACATAAGCTGGAAGTGCGTAATGTTTTGTTTTAGTCCGTTCTTCACTAAAGCTTGTTCTTGCAAATGTTTTTAGTTTGCCTAAACAACTTTTCCCTCCAAAGGTAAATATTTAATTGCCACTGTAAGGTCTTTGCTTCCAGCACATTATTAACAAGAATGTATTTTGATTCTAGTGTTCTGAATCTATTAAACCAGCTCAACATTAGGTAGTGTTACAAATGTAATCATTTCAGTTTTTGTTTTTCTGCTTTTTAGCCTAATCAGTCTTCATTATATGTATAGACATAGTTTTAGTACTGCAGACAGAAAGTCTTATCCTGAATGGTACAAACTTGATTCTTCATAGAGTAAATATTTTCTTGTTCTTTTCATTCATTGTTGTAAGTCTTAGTTATGTATTACATTGTTTAATAATATCCTTTTAGTGAATAGAATGATCTTTCTGGTAGTCATGGGTTTGTGAAGCCACTTAAAGGATAAGAATTTAAAAGTTGTGTTTCAGCACAACTTTTTTACCTGACTGAAGCATCCATTAAACCCAGTAAAATGTACTTTTCAGCTTCCACAGCCTCAAACAGCTGGTTAGCAGCACTAGCACTATTAGGACAGGAAAAATCATTGGTAAAAGAAGGATGCAGAGTGAACAGCTCATTATGAGCAAATGATCCCTGAAGTTACTCTGTTCTTTGGTATTACTGGTCAGCTGTTTTCCTTTCCTTCTGCATAATACTGTCAAGCCTCCTGTTGAACGTCCCATATATTCTGAATAGGTCCATAATTTCATGTCCATTGCTTCCCAAATCCCTTGTCTCAGCTTTGAGACATAGGTTCCAGCACTAACTTGGGTATTACAGTAATAGAACTGCAGCTGCATCCTTTTGCAAGGGGGGAGATAGCTGAACATCTGTGGTGCCCTGTAACTGCAGCATACACGTACATGGTGCACAAATTAATTGCTTTTCAGGCTTCATCATATAAGCCTGTCAAGAACATTTCCTTCACTCTGTGGTTTCTTTGCCCTTCTATGACTTCCTAACTTGAGTTCAGATTTTGTGGTGTCTTTGTTCAGGAACATGCTGTTCACAATGTATCTGAAGTGATCATTCAGATCAGTTGGGTCATTCCTAGACTACTCTTTATTTTCTGACTTCCTCCTTTTGCTCTATGCCTTACGGAAAAGCAGTTGATGGAGGTTCTTCCTATCAACTTCACTGTATTTGTCCTGTGGGAAGAATATCAGCCAACTTCATGTAAGATAGATGCTATGCACAGTAGTGCTGACTGCAGTAGCAACTGATTCAACTGCACAATGGAACCCGGAATATTAAAGAACAGGAAGCTTTAAGCTTTTCATCATCTTCCCTGTCTTCCCTCTGTGTGTTTGTAGTGTGTTTGAAGGACAAGTTCCCACAGTACCAGCATAGGAGTGGTTGTCTTGAGACACTCTCTTCTTGTAGATCATTACCAGCATTACTGGGATAGTGAGTTGCTCAAAAGACAGTGATGTAGTCCTTCAGACAGATTTGCACTTCTGTAAAAACAAGAGAGCTCAATTAATCAGAAATTACAAATGAAGTGCAGCTGTGAACAGATTCCACCCTTGTTGGTTGTTTTCAACAAATAAAAACCAGTTTAATTTCCCAATATTACTGGATCAAAGAGTTCATAACTATAAGAGAAAGCAATTGCTTATTCCCAGGCTGTCATGGTCCTTAAAACTGGGTTTCTTGGCTGAATTATTTAAACTGTTAAAAGAATCTCATTCTAATATGGCACACTTCCAGTTCTGGACTGGTTTCAGAGGTCTTTCTTTAGAAAGCAGGAGACAGTCTTCAGTATCTGTAGCAGTCTGTTTTAAACAGATGAAGTCCTAGGATGTTGAGGTGTGCTGTAAGAATGTTTTTAGGCTGATCAGTGTGGTGTAAATGCAGGTTACTAATAAAGAGCTATGAGCCAGGAGGTTGTAAAGAATGAAAACCTTAAAATCAAGCTTCTAAACTTCTGTTAAGAAGAGTGAAGTGACTTTATGCTTACTACTGGTAGTCCCTTTTGGTTTGGGAGGTACAGTTCTGAAATGTGAGATCAGGCTGTCTTCATGATACTGTCTATAGGGCCAGCTGACTTAGTCTATATTTTATTTATTTATTTTTAAGAAATTGCTGTCTTCTGATTGTAAATACCAAAGATTGTACCCAGATGCATTTGTTTTCTGAAGCAAGGAGGCTTTTCTTACTGTCTTAGGAAGTACCATACCTCAGATTGAGCCTTGCTTCTTGGCTTCTCGTTTGAAATAGCACTGGGAAAGGGTCTGTCATCGAATTCTTTCAAAATATATTTCCTGAACTGTCTGTCCCTAGATTTTGCTGCTCCAGTTTAATTTCTGGTGAAATTAATTTGTTCTAGACAAGCTTGTTTCCTTTGGTAGACTTCTGGCTATTGACATTTTTTGAGTATAACTTCGGTTGTAACATACGAAGTCTTCCTTCCTTTCTGAATTAGTATCACCGATCTGTGAGTGCATTGCTGAGATCCTACCTTACTGATTTGTCAAAGGCCCAGGTATGGTAAGAAGCAACTTGGTTTTATTCTTAGTGGAATCTAGAAATGTTACCTGCTGTTGACCTGGTTTAACAGTACTAGAATTTGAATTCCCAGAGAATTCTTGCTAACTTTACATGGGAGCTTTAGACCTAAATTTGCAGATCTTTTCTCTTCTGAATAAAATTTACGGGTAAGTAACTTTGAATAACCATCTTTCCATGAGTATTTTTTTTTTTAAGAATGAGTTTCTCTAATAGTTATTTCTAAACAGAAGTGCGTGATTCCCATCAAAATCACGGTAATGTACGCATTAAATCTTGACAGAAGATTTTGACAACAGATAAATAATATGAGCTGTCATGCCTGCATCAAAAGGTAACTGTACTGCTTAGTAGGTGACTTTCATAAGTCTGCTCTGGGTAAGTAGTGTCATCTTTAACTCTTAAGCTGTTTTCTTTAACATCTGTCTAGCTTCTGTTGCAGGTGGTGGAATGGACCTATCTTCTAATGATGTCACCATCCATTAGTACACACATCCTGCTAAAAATAAATTTAAGAATCAAAATCTTGTATTGTCTGTTGTTTTTGAAAACTGAAGAGGAGGAGTTCTGTAACTACTCATACCAAACCTCTGCTATTTTCATCTCTGTTCTCACAAAGGTTACTGAGTTTATGCCTGAGATGGATAAGTATTCATCCAGTGTCATTCCTTTTTCTTGAAGATTAAAACTTTCACATAGATGTTCCTAAAACTCACAAGTCCTTTTAGTTATATCATTAGAAATTCCAAATGCAGAAGTTTGGGTGTCACTTGCATTGAAGCTGCCATTACCAAAAGGAAAGAGCTATGAAAACAAGACTTTTTCAGACTTTTGCTTTTTAACTTACACTTTAGCTGTTGGGTTTACATGAACATCAGAAATGAGAAGTGATGGATGTAGAACTTGTCCTTCACAAGCACAATAAAGAACTTTCACTTCATTAATATACATCTAGTTTAAATTTTATGTAGGTAACAGAGAAGATGTATTCTATAATTGCTCTTATGCCCCTTTAGAGCCTCCCTCAAATTTAGGATCGTCCTGAAGAGTATTTCCCTTCACTTTTGTAAGTTTTAAAGTAGTATAAATATTTAAGGTTCAGTGTGCTGTAACTGTATTTGGAAACTTGTATAGGATTTATAGGTAGATGTGATTCTATCTGTTAGACAAAATGGAAATTTTTGCAGAAAGATTTTTATAGGAACTCTTTTTTTCTCAGAACTTCAAGGACTAATATTTCCTGTTTTCTGCTACTTTGGCTGACTCTTCCCTCTCTGCTTCCTCCTTGTGTGCCCCCCACCTCCCAGCCTGTCCCCTAGTTTTTGAACAGAAATGCTGGTTGATCTCACGGAAGGCTGATAAAAAGAACTTTTTGTGTTATGCAGGAACAGAGAATTAGGTGTATGTAAATTAATATCCAGGTGTGCCTATCTCCTTTTGATAAAGACTGTTCTGTAGACATTCTAGAATTAACATGGCCTTAAAAACACAGGGATGAGATGAGCAAGAGAAGTACTTGATTTACTGTGTTTTCATATTGCTTTGCTTTTGCATCTTCCACAATCTGATTGATTACAGAGTAAATAGACTCTTACTGAATTTCAAATAAAGGCTTTGATAGTTCGAAATCTTACATGACTTATTAACGAGTATGGGGAGAGGATCATATGACGTTTTTCTAGAAAACCAAGAGAGTCTCCTCTCACCTTCATTTTGATGTTACGGGAAAACATCATCACTACACTCAGCATGTACTGGATGACCTAGTTTCTTACATAGTGTTTCTGTCAACTTACCACTTTAAATTGGGGCACGTCGTGTCACTAGCATTTCCTTCATAAAAATTTGGATTTAGTCTGAGAGGCCTGCTGTGTTTTAGCAGCTTGCATTTAATCAAGATGCTTTTATTGATGATGTTGCTGCCTTGCATTCCTGATTTTCTACAACTGTATAAACAACATTCGTATCTTTACACTCACACATCTGGTTATAATTGTTTGTGGTTTCTTAGCATATTGAGAGGATATTATATGTTCAGTGCACTTTTATTTCATGATTGAACTTTATAGCTCATAGGTTGACTTCCCTTCCTAAAGGGTTTCATTTTGCCATGGGATTTTATGGGTAAACAGTTATAGGTAACACTCAGTCATCCTAGTCTGTAGCTCTGGAGTCAAAGGCTTTTTTTTTTTTCCCTCCTGTATTCAGTTCCAGCCTGACGTTTTCAAATGCAGACAGAAATGTTAAGCAAAGAATTTAGGGATGGCAGTGGTATAACAGACCTCTTGTGTTTAGGTTTTGTTTCTCGCTGCAAGACTGGATTGATACTATTGTCTACTGTTTCCCTCCACCATGGCCTTTGTGCTATCACAGGGTGTAGTCCTTCCCTTGCTGTTTTGTTGTTTTGGGTTTTTTTGTCCTTTAGACCCC